GTTAAGTCCAAAGGAACTAGTTCTAGAATCAAGAGTAGAGTCTAGGATGCGAATAAGGACAGATAATTGCCAGAGGAAATAGAGTTGTGGATGGAATGGAGAGGCAGATTTTTTTTAAGGGGACCAAATTAGCAGCTTAGCTTTGTTGGAGACCAACAAAGAGTCTGCACAATAATGTGGGCTGCATCTCATGTCCAATAAAGAGGTGGGAAAAAAGATGACTGATGGTTAGGGGACAGGCACTCTATGTTGATCACAGATCAAGTGAGAAGTGATCAATAGTGAAAAAAAAGAAAGAACAGTAAAACATCTATACTTCAAAGCAGGATTATTCTTGAACACCTTTTGTCTTCACCTACTGAGGGAAACAGATCAGCAGACAGAGATTCCCAGCTTTTACCCTTGCCTGTGTGGGAGTGGGTGCCTGTCTCATTGATCCTAGAGCGAGACTGGTTAGGTTTATGTAACTAATTACCTACCTAAACCCTGCCAGTGCCATTTACAAGAACTTCGAGTGGGAGAAAATCTGGGTCATTGAACCTAGTGTGAGACTGGTGGTTAGGTTACTGCAGTGCCTAGCCCCTGCCAGTGCCACTTATACCAAGCTTGATTAATTGATTGTGAGTTTGACAGGCGTTTTTTGGTTAAATGTTTTTTTAAGGTGGGGGCTCAGTTCAGAGCGTGCTGTGCAAGTGAACTAGCACTGTGCAGTGCTATGTATGCTGTGCTATGTACAGTGTAGTGTTTCTTAACGTTAAAGACAATAACATTACAGTACTTGTTAATCTACAAAGCAGCAATTAGATTTTTAATTACTCCTCCTTTTTTTCTTCTTATTGGTCACTCTGTTTCACTTGATCTATGAGCCAAATGGCAGAAAAATGTTTTACTGGTTTAAGATTTTTTTATTTTATTTAATTTTTAGTATGTTTGCAGTATGCTTCTGTGCCATTGCGAATTGCAAGCAGCTTCGCTCAGTTCAGTGCATTGCAGTTTACGGCACAAGTGAACATTACCTGCACTGAGTGTGGCAAGTCTTTTTAACTTTTTGTACATACAAATAAATAATTCTAAAATGCTGTATTGGTGCTGGTTTTAATGTGTTCATATGTCTTTCATTCTAGTGGTTTACTTTCACCCATACTTTTTTGTTTTCCATACCGAATAAGGTTCACTTCTTCTTCTCGGGAAAAAAGTGAGTGGGCATGGGCAATTGATGACATACTCGTGCATTCAACTATGAGAAGAACAATGCTTTCCCACATGCAATAATAAATGCTTGACATGCAAACATAACTGTAATACTATTCTAGGTCATATTGGATTGGATAGAAATGTGGTACTTGGTTATTTATGAACACAAAAATAAAAAATGATATTTATAGTACAATGATACATTGCTTGACAAAGGCACAAATTATGACAACATTTTTTTTAATAACCTTATGTATTGATATACTGGGTCGATATACTTTATGGAATGTGCAATACAATGTTTGTTTTTTGTGAAACACCATGATTAAGAAACACTGACTTTGTATTGATTTCTGGTTCTGTTTTAGACAGACGTGGAATTTTGTTTCGGATGAATTTTGTCTATCCAATCATTTCTAGGAAAATAAGATTGGAATTTACCAAAATGGAATGAAAATGCATCTATTAGTTTACTTCTAAATATATGCATAATATAAATATTTTATTAATTTTGCAGTACACTGATAGGTGCATTTTGATGCATTTGATTCACTGATAAATGAGAAGAAGGAAGAAGGATCCAAGAGAGGGAAAAAGATGACGATCAGTAAAAAAGTCTATATTTCCTGGCTAATCATGGCAGCATCACTTATGGGTAGCTCCGCCCTCAGGACCAGAACAGGATAGGAACTAGTATTCAAATGAGACCGAATGTGTAACGGGTCCCTCCTCCCTTCACACACCAGTCTTTTTTCTGTCCTCAGACAGGCAGAAATGTCCTAACATTTTTAACCTTTTTATTTTTTGGCCATCTTTCCATGTGTACCATGGGTCTCCCAGACAAAGTTCAGCCTGTTTGTTAATAGGACTCTATGGGGTAGGTTCAAAATTAGTTATTAGTTATTTTAACGGTTATGTGGGATTCTTATTATCTCCTTTTAAGTGTTTTGTGAAAGTTCCTGTATGCTGAGAAGATTTACATCTATATGAATTTTCTAATTACAGGGCATAAAAAGTGTAAGTCCCTATCTATCCTCCAACCATGAGTGTCTGTTATTTGCTATATTAATTTTATCTATTCATATCTTTTTTCTTACCTTTTATGGGCTCCTTTCAATAGAGGTTTTCTTAGTATGCTGGCCGGCTCAGTTCGTTGGATTTTATGGCTGTTCACGCAAAATGTGCGCGAATGCATTGGCGTCCTGTTCTTACCAACCAGCATGCATTTGGTTATTTAATTCAGAGACTCCTTTCCCTCAGTGTAGTCTATTCACTAGCTGAAATAGTTCTATGTGTGGTTCGTTTCATTTCAGTTGTATTCGTTTGAAAATTTGTTTAAAAATTCTCATTCGTTTGTGACTGCCCAGCAATATAATACTATTATCCAGGTGAGTTTCTGCCATAGTATCTTCCTCAGTTTTTAAGGTTCTTGTTTTTTCTTTTTTTCTAATATTCTTGTTCCTTTTTATCTTTTAGAGTATGGCATCACCTTCTGTCTCCAGACACTCTATATCCAGAAACACAAAGTGAGCCAATATATCCTATTGTGGGGATTAAAAGAGCGCACAGTTAGGGCCCCAACATAGTATGTATGGCCTTTTATGTCGTTACAGCCCAAGTAGAAGCCGGGACAGATCTCCATAGAAATATAAGGAGATGAGTAATCAGTATGTGGACTGTAACCAGATAGCTCCTGAAGGCAAGAATCTCTGCATAAAATGCCTGACTGAGGTTGCTGAAGAGAGCAGTAAAAGACCTCAAGATGATCTGAAGGCATGGATATCTCAAGCAATTGCAGAAGGCTTCAAAATCACAGCTAAAACCATGGGAAAAACAAAACGCTCTAAAATACAGACCATTTCTTCAGACTCCAGTTCTAATTTAAATATGGAGCAGAATTTTTTGAAGAAGACGAGGAGGAGACATATCATAGAAATATGGACTCCAAATTGGTTGAAAGTCCTAATCAGGGACACACTAAAAATCCAGGAAAAAAAGTCTGAAGTCCTGGAATCAGACAGATTTTTTGAGGATCTAAAATCCTTAAGGCCAATGTGACAAATGCCTGTGGTCTGGTAATTTACCACAAGCTCCTGGAGGAGCCTGCTAGCCAGCCTCCTGCCCCAGGATTAGGGGCCATACAAAATACCCTGCAAACTACTCTGTTTGTGTGATTTGGGAATACATTGTTCGTGAACCAAACAACCGCATGAACCAGAGACCACCACGGAGCTTGTTAAGCCCAACTGACACTGTATTCCAGGGTAGGAACCCGGATTCCGTTTGGTAGTTTGTTCGGGTTTTAAACTACTGAACTTGACCGACCGTTAGCACCGATTTTATGGAACTGTTTTGGGAATAGGACCATGTGTTATGAATACCAGGCAAATTACAAACCCCTGAACCGATCAGGATGAGTTTTGGATATTTTGGTCACCCAGATCGGGGCTTTCATAAGATGTAACATTTGTGGGGGTTTTATGTGTTTTAAAGGTATTTTGGGGTTTTGTAATATTGCATGTTTTTCTGTGCCTGGAGATAATTGAGTTAAGCACTAGCCCCTTAGCCGCCGCAGCTTGGCTGGGGTTCTCTTCACCACACAGGCCATCTGTCCAGATTAAAACATTCCAGCTTGTACTCCTAGAGGGGAAAGGGCTAATCACTAATCACTGCTAAAGTGTGGAGGATTCAACAGGGAAAGTCCTTGTAAGGACTAGAGTCTCAGGACTGAGTGAGTTACCCATTCGGCTCCAGGAGGAAACAGTTCCAGGACCCCAGTCAAGCCACGGCGACTGCGGGCAGAAGTGCTGCGGTTTTTACCCAGTTCCAGCTAGGAAGTGGTCCTTGGCAGAGGTACCCAGCCAGTGGTACAGGGAGCTCCATTACAGTGGTGGCAAGCGGCGGGATCATAATCCCCAGCTGAAAGGAACAAGCATGGTGCCCAGCTACAGGAAAATTTTGACAAGATGCTAAAGATGCTGCTGGCTTATTATGGGCCCAACTCTGCTGAGAAGTATGTACAGCACAAGAGGGCAATAGTGTCCAAGTACCTGCAGCGCACAGCAGAACTGGCAAGTGAGAGGGCACAGGGGGGAATCCCCCGCCCCAGCAACAGTGTGCAGTCCAGGGGGAGAAGTGTTTCGCCCTTTCTCCCCAGAGGCAGTGTGACAGTCAGTCTCTCTCCCGAGTGGTAGAGTGTGTTCCAGGGATAGAAGCATGTCATCCTTCCTCCCCAGCGGCAGTGTGGGGGCCGGGGAGAAAAGACAGTCATTCTCTCTCCCCAGGTGCACAGTGTGTTACAGGGAGAAAAGCGAGTCATCTTTCCTTTCTGTGCCTGGAGATAATTGAGTTATTTCAGTTCCTGATTCAATTATTTCTCAGGCACAGGGGAGGAGTTTGGGACTGGTAACTAGTCCCCTCTCAGGTCCAGGAGAGGGATTATCTTATTTGTGTGGGAGTGTCAGCGGCGTGCTTAACTGTGTCTGAAACATAGGCGTGCGCAGCCTATTGCATTAGGGTGTGCACCCTAAAGCACAAACACCCGCCGTGTGTGTGTGTGTGTGTATGTGTGTGTGTATATATATATAGATATATAGATACATACACACACACAAACACATACACTGCTGTGTGTGCTGTTAGTGTGATGTGTGTGTGAGGGTGCTGTTAGCGTGATGTGAGGGTATTTGTGTGTGTGTGTGTGTGTGTGTATGTTTGTGACTGTGCTGTTTGTGTGTGAGGGTGTTTGTGTGTGTATGTTTGTCCTGTGAGGGTGCTGTTTGTATGAGTGTTGTGTATTTGTGAGGGTGCTGTTTGTGTGTGTGTTTGTGAGGGTGCTGTTAGTGTGCTGTGTGTGAGGGTGTTGTGTTTTTTAAAAGGTGCTGTGTGTGTTTGTGAGGGTGCGGTTAGTGTACTGTGTGTGTGTGAGCTGTATGTGTGTGTGCTGTATGTTTGGAGGGATTTGGCAGATTAGTAAATCCTTGCTGCCATGTGCCATCCCTGGTGGTCCAGTGGAGAGTGAACTCTAGCCTGCGGGGCTAGAGTTAACTCTCGCGAGATCTGAGCATTGCCGCAGCAACGCTCAGATATCGCAAGAGGAACCTGGCGGAGCTTCTGTCTAGAGCTCCCTGGGTCCTCTCCTGCCTCTCTCCATGCTGCTGTGGGCCGGTGAGGTAGATCTTTGGTCTCCCCGCCGGCCCATGGAGGCTTAGAGCAGAGACGGCACTCAGATAGCGCCGGCTCTGTGTGTGTGTGTGTGTGTGTATATATATATATATTTATATATATATGCGTACACACACACACTCACAGACACACACACACATACACTCACAGACACACACACACACACATTCACACACTCACACACACACATACACAGACAGACACACACTCACATACACAGACAGACACACACTCACAGACACATTCACAGACACACACACACAGAGACACACTCACACACAGACACACTCACACACACACACATTCACAGACACACACACACAGTCACACACATTCACAGACACACACACACAGACACACTCACACACATTCACAGACAAACACACTCACACACAGACACACACACAGACATACTCACAGACACACAAACACACACTCCCAGACACACACACACAAGAACAAATTATTATATTTTAATTTAAAAAAATGTCCACCCAGCCTCCCTACCTGGAGTGCTGGCGTGGACTTTTCCCGCGCGGCGAGAGGGAGCAGAGCACAGACAGCAGAGAGCTCCCTCTCGCCGCGCGGGCTGTCTGCTGATGCTGGGAGCCGGAATATGACGTCATATTCCGGCTCCCTCCCGGCATCAGCGCGCGGCGAGAGGGAGCAGAGCGCAGACAGCAGAGAGCTCCCTCGCCGCGGCTGAGCTGCAGAAAGGCGCCCGCCCCACTGGACTCCAGGGAAAAGTCCACGCCAGTACTCCAGGTAGGGAGGCTGGGTGGACATTTTTTTTCTGAGCTGGAGAGCGGGGGGGGGGAGGAATCCATCACCTCTTGCCCTCCCCATGACAGGGGCAAGAGGTGAGTGGGGCGCTGAGTGTGCTGTATGTTTGGAGTGTGCTGTATGTTTGGAGGGATTTGGCAGATTAGTAAATCCTTGCTGCCATGTGCCATCCCTGGTGGTCCAGTGGAGAGTGAACTCCTTCTTAAAGCAAAAAAAGTGCAGGAACGCTGTTCCTGCAGGACTCAAACCATAGGCGTGCCACGGGGATTAGGGTGTGCCCAGGCACACCCGGCACACCCCGTGCGCATGACTATGGTCTGAAATTGTATAAAAGCAGGCCACCTGGCCAGATTAAAACATTCCAGCTTGCACTCCCAGAACTATGTGTCGTATGGTTACAGGAAGGGGAAAGGGCTAATCACTGTTCCAGCTTGTTCCAGCGTGGAGGATTCAATGGGGAAAGTCCTTGTAAGGACTGAGTGTCGTCCAGTCGCTGGTAGTGGATAGAGCTAGTTCCCTATTTGGCTCCAGGATGGAGAGGTTCCAGGACCCCAGTCAAACCTAGGCGACTGGGGGCAGAAGCGTTGAGGTTTTTCCCCTGTTCCAGCTAGGAAGTGGTCCAGCTAGGAACAGAGAGCTCTGTTACAGCCTACATTTCTAGTTCACAGTTCAATAAAGAATATAATACTGGAAGAATGGCAAAAATGGAAAAGAAAGTTATTTTAAAAAAAATAAGGCTTACAGAATTTATCCAGTCTCTCCTGATGAGTGTAAATGCTGGAATTCTATACCTGTAATTGATGCTGCAATTATTTGCATGGCTAAACTCACTACACTACCTATAGACTCCCTAGCCTATCTCAGTGAATCTATGGAGAAAAGAATGGATGCAGACCTAAATAAAGCCTATCTAGCATTAGGTTCTACCATCCATCCTTCAATTGCTCTAACCACCGTTTCCAGATCTCTCAATGTATGAATTGATAACATAGAGGATGATATTCCTAGTGGAGTCAGAAGGGAAAATCTCTTGGAAAACCTTAAGGATTCCAGAATGGCTGTAGAATTTTTCTCAGAAGGAGGAACGACCAACCCATATCCTAATCGTCAACAAAGTCTTCAAGAGGAAGAGGAATGCGCACATCTTCAAAAGCTTTATGAACACACAGGTCCAAGGGGTCATTGGAGGAAGACTATGTTTCTTTACCCCAACTGGACTAAGATTATTTCCGACAAGTGGGTTTGATCCATCATAAGAGCAGGCTACAAGCAGGAATTCTCAAAGTTCCCTACCTTAAATATGTTTGTAACATCAAAGGTCTCGTCTCCCGTAAAGCAAAAAGCTATGCTTCAGATCCTATCAAATCTCTTGGAGCAGAGGGTAATAGAAGGAGTACCTCCAAAAGACAGCTCTCCAAAAGAAAGATACTCAAGAGTATTCCTAGCTCCAAAAACAAAAAAACAAGTGGAGACGCATTATAGATCTCAAGGATATAATCTGGAACTCCAGGATTTATCTTTTGAAATTTAATCAATTTCTTCCATTACTCGATAAATCAAGGGTATTGGCTTACCTCTATAGACCGAAGGGATGCCTATTACCAGATTCCAGTTCATTCTCATCACTTCAAGTTCCTGAGATTCTTCATAATAGGCAAACATCTCCAATTAATTCGGTCTAAGCTTAGATTCCAGAACATTTTCAAAAGTCCTGGTAACATTCATTGCCTTTCTAAGAACTCATGGGCTGAGTTACTTAAATGACATCCTGATTATAGTAGCCTCCTTCGACAGATTCATGATTCACACAAACAGGGCCCTGCAGTGTCTGAGAAACCATCGATGGATGGTAAATTAAGAGAAGAGTTCTCTGGAACCATCTCACCAGATAATTTATCTTGGGGAAGAGATAGACACCACAAAGGCCTCAGTAAAAATTTCCACAGACAGAAGTTCTCAGATTCAGGAGAAAGCTCGGATGATTCTGAAGAAGAGTTCAACATCCGCAAGAGACTATATTGTTTTGGATCAAAGAAAACTTTGATAATTTGTCTATCTACACCTTCCAAATTGATTAATTAATGCATGCACGCTTTCCCTAGAAGTAATTCACACCGGAGACAAAGTTTCTGATCAGTGAAAAACCCAGGAATGCTTTATTCCCCGGAGTGGGGGCTCCTTCTTAAAGCAAAAATACGTCACAGTTTAAACATACAGTATACATTCACCAATTGGTTAACAGTCTAAGGGGGTCTTGTCTAAACCCCCCCTACAGGATGTAGTGTCATCATTACAGACTTCTGGATACACGATGGGAGGGGGAGTGAGTAGTTTCTTTCAGTTACTTTAACAGTGATTCTCCATTTTGTTACACGTGGCATATAGCTGTTAACTGGCACAAAGGTAGTGGGGGAGGAGTTAGTAAAGGGAGCTGTTAACGCAGGAATTTTGGTTACACAAGGTTTGTTTGATGGGAAGGGGGATGCTTAGCACGATGAAGAATTTACATAGGAAACAGCAACTGAACACATTTTGGGGGGGAAGGGAATATTTACTCTAGCAGCCAGTTTTAACATAGTGAACACAGAATAAATAGACATTAGTAAATAGCCATTTTATTTTAATTCATCTGTCCATAACAATATGAGTCTCCTAGGGTCTCTTACTTCCACCATAGGTATGGTAAAATGGGCCCAGTGGCACTCAAGACCTATCTAAATGAATTTCCTCCTCCAGTTCAATATTCTCCAGAACAACTGGGATCAAGAAATTGTGGTTCCACTAAAGGTGAAGTACCAACTAAAGTGGTGTTTATCGCTTCACAATCTCCAGAGAGGCATTCCTTTAGAAGAACCAGACTGGCTCACATTCATGATGGATGCCATCCTCAAAGGTTGGGGAGCCTATCTCAACTCGACCTGGACTCAATGGAAATGGTTTCTACAGGAGAAGAAGCTTCATTCCAACCTAGTAGAATTGATAATAATTTACAAGGCTCTGAAAGCTTTTCTTCCATTATAACATCATAAGTGGGTGTTGATTCACACAATCAACAGGGCAGTGGCTGCATATGTCAATCATCAGGGTGGCACCAGAAGCAAGAGTCTTCTTTCTGCGTTGACACCCCTGATGAATCTGTCTCAGAAGCATCTCATGGGGCTAAAGGCACTATACCATCCAGCAATAGACAACACCTTAGCGGACTATCTGTGCAGGGAAACCATTCATCCAGGAGAATGGAGTTTTCACCAAGACGTTTTCAAGATGATTACAAGAAGGTGGGCCATACCCCAAATCAACCTCATGGCAAACAGGAGGAATGCTCAAGTAAGGGAATCTTACTCTCTTATTCCAGACCCTCTATCAACAGGACAAGATGCTCTATCACAACTATGGAACTTCGATCTGGAGTATGTGTTCCCTCCCGTACCTATCATACCTCACCTATTGAAGAAAATTGGCAAATAAGAGAAACAGATCATTGCCATAATTCCCATTTGGCCAAGAAGACCTTGCTATCTGCTTTTTTCTCAAGATGGCCATAACCCAGCCTTGGAAACTACCTCTTAGGGCAGATCAAGGCCCTGTTCTTCATCCGAACCCATCTCAATGGAATCTGGGAGCTTGGCTCTTGAACGGACAACTTTATTAAACCAATGCCTTTCAAATAAAGTGGTGGAAACTCTTCTTAAGTCTCGGAAAAGATCTACTTCTTCCTGCTATTATAGAATATGGGAAACATTCAAAGTATGGGCAGGCTCTAAAGACTTTGACCATCTCAATCCATCTCATATTCAAATTCTGGATTTCCTACAGTCAGGTCTAGATAAAGGACTAAGTTTCAGCATTCTGAAAGTCCAATCTTCTGCCTTATCGGCTCTTCACAATAAATCCTGGAAAACTCATCCACTTATTGCAAGATGAGGATTATTTCTCCGTCAAGAAATTCCTCTCCTCCTTGGGATCCTCCATTAGTCCTACAATTTTTAACAGAACCTCCATATGTTCCTCTTTCACAGATTTCTGTACAACTCCTTACCTATAAAACAGTCATTTTGGTGGCCATTACTACAG